ATTACCCTATACGGTTCAGGTGAACAATTGTTTTAATTTTTTTTAAATCTTTTTCCAAACTGTTAGAAATATACTACACCATTATAATCTGGCCGCTAAGATTATTATAAATTTTAACAAGAACCTTGGGCCATTTAAATTTTCAATGTCGCTAAATTTGGCTTACGTATCTTCGAGCGATAGCTATCGTCACTACCACCACCACTGTTGTCCTAAAGTCACTCTTCCTTTCGGTCTCACCTACCCAGATCTTCCCGAAGTGCCTACATAGATTATATACCTAACTGCCTATATGTAAATAGTGTCGCGAAGTGAACTTTGATAACCCTACATCGGGCGAATGAAGTAGTGGGGAGATTACAAAGTGTGTGGGGAGGGAAGGCAGAACTAGAGAATAATTAGCACGACTGCTTTAACTTCCATGAATGAATTCTGTTCGTACCAAATTCAAGCTTGAGCTGTTGTCGAACTACAGTGATCTTTTAATTAAATGTTGCGTTTGCTGCTGAAGGAAAAGGAAATGTCCATAAACATTAATTCATACTCATCGCACTGTGAATACAATAGTGTATTAACTCAAAGAGTGTATTTTTCCAGAACCGAAGAAAAACGAATACTCACTTCCCGTGAAAGATCATTAAAATTTATGTATAGGTTAAAGTTTATTAATGATTTCTAACCAATTTCCTATTGGCTAAATATGTATATTTAAAGATAAAAGGGAAGAAATATAATTTCATAATGGATTTGAGTAAGGATTGTACTCACATAAAATTCATTTTAAGTAGATATATTTTCATTGTTTCTTACAATATTCTAACGACGGCTTTATTGACGTGTAGAGAATCTAATTTTACTTTCAGCGATGGTATAGTCTCGAGTTTCACATATTTTGGGTTACAACACTATTGTAATAGCGATAAATGCGATATCCAGAATCAACTTCCAAGAAAAGTGTGCGATATTATAACTTTCTATTCAACCACTCCAGTTATCAGATCTCAAACTAGGGAATTCCCTGTATTATCACTAATACAGCAACGGAATTCACTCCAGAACTACCCATAACACCCAGACCAGAACCAGTTTAGATAAATCCATATCCCAATTTAGTCCTACCGGGACATCATCATCGCCGTTGCCGATACCGCTACATAACAGTATGATAGCAACTCTTTTTGCTGCAGTTATCCTATTCGTGTGCAAAAAACATCGCTTTATCAACGCTATTCTCATCACAGGACATTACCATATTAGCCGACGTTGTCGAACTTCTCATATTTTCCAGCAAATCTCAGACATCTGATCTACGGTGAAATGTTACCTGAATCTCTTCTTAAGAAAGCTATAAAGTGATAAAATTCCAGCCATATTAAGAGAGTACATAATATTCAGAGCTCAAAAATGCGAATTAATTTCAGTAAGAATAAACAAGATGGTGGCGTTCTTACCTTACCAGAAAAAACGATTCTGCTGCTTTATGTTTTTACATTAAGCCAAAAATAAAGACGTTACGGGTATATTACTTTTTCCCCACGGTTTCAAGCAACAAGTTTTCCAGTATTTCCAATTAGTGTATAGCAAACTTTATCGTCGCCAAGCACGTCATTAACATTATGCGACCATTTGAACCAGGGTAGACCGCTTTATTATGCGTTAACGCAATAACAGAGAAAAATAAATACCGCCCCATGAATAACAATAAGGCTTCCCCTAGCAGGAAGCGACGCAGTATAAAGCGGCTATTAGAATTAACTTCCGTTATATTTCCAATTTTTTTTTATATTTGTCTGATCCCTTTAATATGTTACAACATGAACCCCATTTTACACCCTCATGTTACAACAGTATAGAGGCACAATACAGAGAGACAACACCAACAGATATCGATAACCGTAGAAATCTAAAGTGCCGCCCTTGTTGATAATAACTTTAGCAGTGACTAGCGTTTGTCAAAACGAATAAACATAAATACCAATGGTCTTTAACAGGTCCTGAGATACCTGCTGCAGGTAGAGTCGGCGGCTACAATGGCATTCCGAGCATCCGAAATGAATCAAAATTCGGCGCACAGCCCGGGGCGGAGGTGAGGGTGCGGGACGGGCCCACTCACTAACCACAGCTCGATCGTGATAAATTACAAGCATAATGGTCGCCTCTATTGTTGTTATTAGGAATGATTTCATTAGGAAATGCGCCGGCGCACCTGCACTGCGCTATGATGCCAATGTTATCCGTTAACTGTCAAATCCATGATAAGTATCGTGTTGAGAAACGAAATATTGTTTTTGCCCATAACTATCTATAAATTATATCGAATGTTCTAAGTAAACAGTCATTATCAAGGGTAAGAAATGGGCCCAGAAAATTTACAAGTGTATTTGTGAATGTCATTTACGGGCAGGTTGTACGTGTTTATTGGAGTGCGGTGCGCAAGCCAGTGTGGCCTCCCCACTCGGAGGACTGGTTCCATTATTTGTACGCAGCGCGGCGACCTCCCGCACCGACGGGAACAATGAAAGTGAGAGAGGACAGGAATGCGTGCGGGAGGCAGGGGCGCTCTGTGCGGTGAGGCGGGGAGACGCGTGTTCCCGGTTCCCAGGCGAGGAATGCCAGCACGAGCAACAAAGCCTGCTCGCCGCCATTCACCCCCTTCCTCCCCGGCCCGCTAGAGGTTCTTTCTCAGACATGTAATTTTTCGTGAATTTTCCTTTAAGTAAGTAGCAATTGCGTTTGCGTGAATCGGAATCCGAACCGTACTACGTTCGATATTCAAAAATCGTCGCATGCTTCCATTATCGACATGAAAGGAAGCTTGCAGCTCTTAATTTATTGCCGCGACGACGATATGGAGCTTGCTACAAATTCCGTGGAAACGTTCCAACGATCCGTTTTACATAAAATTTAATCGGCAGTGAAAATATCATTGATTATCTAAGTGATGCAGCACAAAAATAATGTATGTAGTGTGCAATAATAATTAAGTGTTATTATTCCATTCATGCAAACCGAGTGGCGACTCAAGGTTCAGGGTCGAGTGTCGGGTCGCACTGAACAGCTGACTCCTCATATTGCTTTACTTATATTAGTGTTTTTAAGAAGGCTCTTGTATTTATGAACGCAAGAAAACTCTACGCTACATTCAGTTGCTACGGTACACAGAGCTAACGGGCAGATTAGAGGGTTCGAAAAACCATTAGCACTTTTAATTTCTGAAAAAGTGCTTAAGCAGCGGCGGTTGCTCGAACTAGCGCGGTTATTCGGAAAGCTTTTTGTGCGTTTAATAGAGCGTAGTTTAAATGCATATTATCTAGTTATATGATTTATTTTTGTAATTTATAAAAGCTCTATCTGTGCTTATATAGATAAACAGGAACAACATTATTATATTAAATGACGAATGAAATATTAAATGTGTTTGAAATCAAATATCGTGACAATGACTATATTTTTGGACTTGTATACTTTTGTAGGAGCTGACTTATAGGAGAGATGATTTGAAGAAGTTTGATGATGACACTTTTGTACTGAGTGTATCGAATCCTGTGTTAGCGTTCACCAATATCAGGGTACGTGTCATGAGTTCATAGTGACAGTTATGTCTAACGACGACGATGTAAAATATTTATATACAAAATCTTACTATTGCTGTACAATTTGCTATACTATGTTGTGAAGTAATTTGAGACTGTCTCTGCAAATTCATGATAGAGACACTGGTCTCGCCACTTTTCGAAATTCGCATAACAGCCGCGAGAGCGACGGGATGGGAAGACACATGCAGACAAACAATAGTTCGTCCTAAGGCGCTAGTTCGTCTTAAGAGCATACTTAATTCCTTTCCAATTTATTGTTACTTCGAAATCAATGATCTTATATAAAAAAACCATTGTTGGCAGTATTTAACTTTACGTCAAGATTTAAAAATAAAATAAAAACATACGATTGAATAACTTTTGTAATTTATTCACACAACTGCCTCCGCGGCCGAACGGTTACCATGCCGGACTGCCATGCAGAGGTCCCAGGTTCGATTCCCGGTCCAGGAGAAATATTTGTATGGCTTACATTTACATATTTCTCTCGTGAGTTTGGGTGTAATTTGTGATTGTCTATGTGTGACACACACATGCATACGGCACCCGCGACACAGGGTTTCACTAGTGCAAGGCAGTTTTGAGTATAAAAACCATTAAAAAGTCGTTTTTTAAAGAAAGGTCGGAAATATCGTACCATAAATAGTGGAAAACTCTTTTTTAATTATTTTCATAGAGTGCAGAGACTACTTCTGTGTTCGCCTTGTATTCATAGATACCAACAACTCTTTTTTTAAGTTTTTCAAGTAATGTTCTATTTTTGTTCAATAAAATATTCCTTGGATATTATATTATTTTTTTGGATCTAAACTATGTATGTTTGTTTGGAAACATTGGTTTGTTTGAAAACACAAAGTATACGCGATTTAGATGCGGAGAAATATTTCATTTCCAATGTGTAACAATCACGAAAACCTAAGAACTCGAAAGTATTCGTTATTTGCGAGTCTTTATGAAACGTAGTTTTGTAAAATAGCAATTTACAATAATAATTATTGTATTTCTTGATTTATTGTTAACGAAAAATCAGAATTTTCCGTAAGTAGTTAGGCATAAATATAGACTATCAGCTTAAAAAGTTTTTGTGCAAAACTAAAACAGTTAAATCCCGTTTGCAGGAACACAACACTTATTTAAACATGGTAGTTGTAATTGCGTGATGTTTTATGCATAAATTTTTTGTTTTCACAATTACTTACGACTACTACTAGTACATTCTGCCTTACAGATTTAATTCTAAGGTATATATATATTTTACCAATTTAAATTGTTATAAAATCAATCGCGAAATTCGTAGAACTCAGCAACGCCTAGTTAGAGCGTCAGAACTTCACAAATATTTTCGTTTTCTGTTTCATTAACCACTCATCCAGCGAATGTTTACATATCTCATTCGATCCGCACCTGGTTCCTGGCTATCATCAGCTGATGCGTTGTGTCTGGCGAAGAATTGTTCGGAAAGCGCGCAGGAGGTGGAGGCACCGGTGGCTGCCCAGCTTCCTGCCACGAACAACACAACCACCACTAAACACCTCATTTTCACAACACTCTATCTACAAATCGAAATCGTTAATATTTGTCACTCGCGAGTGCGCGTTCGACCTCGTGGTGGAAACGAGCGACACGCGTGCACCTTCATCAGTGCGCTTTCCCGGACTGGCCGCGGCCGCGCGACGTGCCCGCCCGCCCGCTGGCCGCCTCGCCACGCCGCCGCCCGCGATTTAAATTAACCGTACAAATAAAAGAAAACCTTTCGGGTTTTCAAAATATTTTGCAGATTTTTGTAATTCCATAGGTACAAACTTGTTACTCTTTAGGGCAAGTGATGTTATCGTATCTACATTAAAATATATAGTCATACGAAAAAAGAACAAAGCTATAAAAGCGTATAAAATACTGGTGAAATCTTTATCAGTAAGTATCAATCGATCGATGTTCGATGAGCTTTTTATACGTCTTTTGTAGACTTGACGCAAAAAAACTCGTGGAGCCACATCTGGGTTTACGATACCAGTTTTTTGTTATAAGTAGGACTACTTATAACAAATTGCCTTTTGTCTAATGACAAATGCGCTATCACAGTTTTGCACCGGGCGACGATAGGAATATAAAAGTGATTTAAATGTGCAATGTAGGGGGTATGTATATTCATATGCCGTCGCCGTGTCTCGGCTGACAGATGCAGGGCGATGTGTGGCGAAGGCTCGATCCCGCAGGGCTGCGCGCGCACTGCCTTCCCATTCAGTTACATAAACTTCACGGACGCTAGTTGATCGAGCTTTACCGTTTAGTCGTCATCGCTCGTTCCTTACTTCGTTTACAACATACACATTCAGGACAGAAAGTAATGTACGTAAAACCGAATCTTCGTATCGAATTTATATGCAATATGAATCCACGGTATGCCGCTTGCGATATCGAACGATCGTCACAACTCTCCTCTTAGCCTGAGAAACGCGTTTTCTTTAAGTTCTTTTACACAAAATGTTACGAGAACACTCATGCCCGGGTAGTATACCGTCGACGCTAAAGTGCACTTAAAAGCTTTATGAAGATATTAAACATGGACAACAACAAGAGAGTCACTTTGATAGAGACTCCAAATTGAGATAGCACTGTGGGTAGATCACTGAAAGTTTTATATGATTTATAACTTCCTCAAAAAAGGTTACAGATTCTTGATTGAACACTTCCTTAGCATAAGAATCGCACTGTTAATACAATAGTGTATTAACTCTCAAAATCGATGAAAAACGAACTACTCACTTCCCGTAAAAAATCATTAAAATTTATGTATATTATATAAACACTTAAACAATTTCTCAAATACATTTAAAAAGTGAAATAGAAAAAATAATTTAGTATCTTGGAATAAGGATTATTTTGCCCAGGACTAGATCACATAAAGTGTCTCATTTTTAGTTAAGTGGATATCTTTTAATTATTTCTTACAATATTCTAACGACGGTTTTTTTGACGTGTACAAAATCAAATTTTACGTTCAGTAATGATAATATCATTTATTATATTATAATATTACATTTCACATATTTTGAGTTTCAACACTATTGTAATAGCAGTGCAATGTATTATTATAAACTACATAAAGTTTGTTGGAGGTGTTTTTATGTATGACTTAATGTCTGCATAACGTATTTCTTTGCAAAACAATCTCAACAACGTGGGTACTGTTAAAAATTATTTTTTTTTAACCTTGCTTTTGCAATAGATACCTAATTTGTAAGGACTTACATACATCACTCAAAAAAATACTCATATGCCATGTCAAAGAATAAATAATACCTGCACGCCAATGTAAAAAAGCTAAATGCATTTAAAACGCTTTTTCATTTCATTATAGACAATAGTTAAAGTTCCGAAATGGTCATCTGGATGATGAATGCCGATGGAGTGGCATATTTTTAATTTATCACCAGCTATGATCCAGGTAGGTAGGATTCATTGAGGCGCTTTAGGAGCGTCGCCGCCCGTCGCCCGCCGCGACCTCATTGTTACGGCCTCTATAGCCAAGGGACCGCCTTTATAGCGGCTTATAAACTATAGACTAGAGCGTTTACTACTTAAAACTCAGGAGTAAGTACTTATAAAAGGAACTAAAAATATAAGTAACACTACCAACAATCAATTCAATAAGTATCTTCGTGCTACAAATATTTTGTTTCAACATGTTTTAACTAATTTCAAATCATTCTTGATTGAACACTGCTAAGATTGATGTAAAAATTTAAGAAAAGTTAAGTAAGGTGCGAAGTTAATGTTAAACTAAAGTGACTTAGATCTTAGAGACCGCTTGTCGTTTTAAGCTTACAACTCGTAATTTATACGTCGTCCCAAAGTCGATTGTACCACGAGTGTTAGTGGCAATAAAAGGGACGTCTCATTTATTATTGACAAATATTTCGCGGTGAAAAAATGAAAGGAGCCTAACGGAAGGCGCCAGCATTTTATTGTATTTATTACACAATAAGTATAGTCTCGTATTGCCGACCGGTTGGATGAATTTTTTGTTGAATAAATAGATAGAAAATTATAACCATTTTCAAAGCAAGCTTCAACTTGCGTTGTCAAGGTATGAATAGACCTTATTAATACCTCCGCTTCATTTATTACACCTCTCTGGGTCATAGGATTCCTGTAAATTAAAAAGAAAAGCTTGATGAAGTTCAGTTATATACTATAATCTTCAGTTTCATAATTTCTACCATAACTAACTTTCGATATCAATTTCACAACGATATTTTGAAACTTTATGTCTACTACAATACGACTTATAATAATAACTTTGTTCATAATGGATAATATAAACTTTGTTGCATCGTTGATAAAGTAGGTACCAGTTGGCAATAGCACTGAAAGTAACAACGTTCAACGAACGACGATACGGGCGACCGCGCGTTGATGTCTATTGTTTGTACGTGTGTGCGCGTTTGACGCGTAATGTTATGTCATTATATCTAACTCGTAAGTTTACACATCATTTTATGCTTCCCACTATACTTTGGCGACATTTACATCAATGAATACTTAAAACTATAAGACAAGGTGAATGTTAAGTATTGTTCAGTATTGTTCTTATCGTAACTTAATAGAGTTGAATTTAAATCTTAAGTGTCAAGTTTGACATGCTCTTCACCCTGTATACTTGGTAATTGGTGTAACGGACTGGTGTCCGCAATATTGTCCGTAATAGAGTTGAATTTAAATCTTAAGTGTCAAGTTTGACATGCTCTTCACCCTGTATAACATGGCAAGAATTAAAATATATAAATGCAATGAGGTTGCTTACATTGTGCTTTTCAAGTGATTATTGTTTAGCATTGCGTTAAGTGCACTTATTTACCAAACCAAATTGGACTCCATACTTAAATTCATTAACCACATGTTACTCATAATTTTGTGTTTGTAACCTTTCCCATCTCATAACGGGTGAATATAATTAAGAGTTTAATATATTAACCCTAAATATATACCTACAGGGTTATTTGTAAAATACTAATAACCTCATAAGACTAGTTATATTACTAACATTATAAACATTAAATTACAGGCACACTTCACTTGTCAACTTATATCTCAGGGTGACGGGAGCAGTGGCAGTGTCCCTTAGACTTTGTGATTTAAAACTCTGAGTGGCACTACAACTGTTATGGACAGGCGTGTAGTTTACCATCAGGCGCACGACTTGTTCGTCCTGTCACTTGATATTAAAAAAAAACATAATTCATCACAATTTACTTTTATAGAAAAATAAAAATAGTTAAAAATAGATCTCTCTAAACAGTGATAACTCTGTACAAATCACAGTAGCGTGAGTGGGGGTAGTCGGGGAGGGCGCCTGTACGTTTGAACTTACTACCTTACTACTAGATACAGTTTAGTAGAACAAAAAGTTTATTTTTGATAAATTTGTTATGTTTTGTAAAAAGTCGTGGAAAAAAATGTTCTTGTTTATGATGTTCGTAATATAAGTCCTGCGAGGTTGTTAGTATTTAACAAATACCCCATTTATGTTAACATTTTCTGTTAAACAAACCTGACCCAGACCTCCAAGCATCGCGTTTTAGCTATGTTAACAAGTTGATCATAGGATTTCACTTTTGACACTTCTGTCCTCAATCATATACAAATCATATATGTATATTATAACAGGACGTGTATTATTAACTTGCAGTAACTCACGATTATGGATCCAACAAATTTTTGTTTGAGTTATATTTTTAAATTCATGTAATAAAAGCACTCGAAAATTATAGTTCGGTTCTAAATTAACTTGGAACTCAAGTTCTTGTTTGCAATGTTTCTAATAGATCGGTCCAATGCTAGTTAAACTCGAGGGTTTCAAACGTGGCACTCAATTACTGTCATAATTTCAATCCTCTAAGCATAATCATCCATGGCAGAACATTGCCAAGTATTATTTGATCACTTCTCATAAATTAAAAATTAATTAAAATGTAAGCTATTAATATGTTTTTTTCTTTTTGTAACAAAATAGTACCCATCATAGAAAAATAATATAATTACTAAGTATCTCGTTGCGTAGAAAAAAAAAAGTTAAATATTATTTATCAGAAACTAAATATTTCAACTTTTATTTCACAAAACTACTTAAAAAGTTTTGTGCCTCTTATTCTTGAACACAGAATGCTTACAGATTTTTTCGTGTAATAAATTTTTGAGAAAGGGGAGAGAACGATTAATATTTTCACACTTTTCCTAAGAAGTCAAAATAGAAATGAAAAGATTTTAAGGATATTCACATGAAGCTATCTCTCACGACTTAATGATAATACACACATCAAAAGTGTCTAGGGATCAAGTACGTTTAAGAGTATTGCTGCAATTAGGGTTAATTATATTAACTTTTTTGTATCGCTATAAAAGTCAATGATCGCTATTGATACTTTTTAGTGAGTTTTAACATTTAAATAAGGAATATTGTTTAAAATTCGATAATAAGAAGAAAATCGATTGTCAATGTGGTTTTGTATAAAAATGAGTTATAGCGTTTTGACAAAATCATTACAATATCTGCATCGGAACCGAAACAATTTACATTATTATGGAGAGACGACATCATTTAACCTGAGAAGTGATGATGCGAGCCGTCGGAATGTTGGAAGCTGGTTCCA